CAAGGATATATGCATTACCTGACCATCAGGGGACATAGCAAGGTAAAGCACTCGCATGGTGTGGCCAGTTAGAGTTGCAACCTTTGTCAATGATGGATATTTCCATACCATAATCTGATTCTGTGAGTAACCATGAGTACTCACTATCTCATTTACATTTTTACTCCAAGCAAGATTACACACCTGCATTATCATACATTAAATTTGTGTAAATATGGATTCTTGTAATAGAAATCATTGATTAAAAAAAATAAGTTCAGAACTAAACCTGGCTCCCAGTGTCAATGCAATTTAATTGATGTCCATTGGTAGTGTTCCAGAAGCGAATGCACCTATCTGCAGTTCCACCTCCTGATGCAAGGAGATTGCTCTGATGAGGTGACCAAGAAATGGCTTTCACTGCAGCTGTGTGTTCTGTTAGTCTCAAAGCTGGTTGCTGAGAGTGCTGATTCCAAATCAATAGCTGCTCATACAAAACATGTTATAAAAGATGTGAAGTGAAGCTTCCTTATTTTACATTTTTATAAAGAAAAAAGGAAGAGGCATAATACCTGATTATCATTTCCACCAGATGCTAGTTCCCTGTCATCACTGGACCATTTCAAGCCACATACCTGTCACATTAAGGGATAAAAACAGATTGAGACTTGTGAACAAAACAACATAGGTGCAGGTTGGTTCCAAGTATATTTATCAATTCCTTATGCTACCTCAGACTTGTGGCCAACAAGCTGGCTAATGTAGTCATTTGAAACCCTCATGTCATGTTGAAGTATGTTCCTATCCCTGCTGCCTGATGCTAGAATGCGCGAATTCCATGCCAAGACACCAGTTCTTGTCTGATGTCCGCCCATTGTTCTTACCCTCTTACACCGAGTTCCATCCCAAATCTGTGCCATAAGTGTAAAAATGCTCTCTTATTCTCAATTGAAAACATTTCATCAAATAAATGTAACAATATGATATCTTAACAGGTACCTGAACTTGACCAAGACATGTGCCGATGGATATATAAGAACCTTCCTTGGTCCACTGGACAGAACACACACCATCATGGGGTCCCAAGTCACATAATCTTGTCACCTGAAAAACCACATTAACCAAATGTCAGTTCATCAAAATTTAAAATCATGGTGTCATGAAATTGGTAATGTTAGCAGTTATCTTTTCAGACTTACCTTGCTGTTTGAAGCACTCCAGAGATAAACAGAAGTACCCAAACCCACGGCTAGAACATTCTGTGAGGACCAGTCCACTAGATTTAAGTAGAAATCGTCCTGAAGTGATGGAGCATCCAAAACCTGCAACCAAATTCTAATTCTTAAATCTTAATCAATTCATAGCATTCTCTTCTGTTCATAGTCATACTTCATATTTTTTTTTCCAATCTTAGTTTATTGTTACACCATCAGCTAGAAATTCAGTTGAATCATTAATACTTTGTTAAAGTTTGGTATGAGTAATTAAAGAAGCTTTCTTGATTAGCAAGAAAGATAAGAGAATAAGAAAGAAAGCTTAGAGAAGAAGAAAGAATGAGAAAGAATTGATTGAATTGAATGAGTTTCTCATTATGATTGAAATGAAGTGAATGAATTGCAAAGATTAGGGGTATGCCCCTTTATATACAACTTTGACTAACTAACTCAAGTATCACAACTAACAAATTGAAAGTCCCTTATGAAACAATGATCTTAAACTTACGTGGATTGCAGCCTGGAATTTTTATAACTAAATATTTGATTTTAAATCTTTTGAGGATCTATTGCAGTACTTTTTCTATAGTTTGGAACCACACTTCAATCATATGATATCATATCAAGTTATTAAAAAATAGATAAAAAAGATTCAATTTGAAAATAAAAACAAAAACTTTAGGAAGTAATAATGAAGTAAAAGAGAATGTTTACCTTGAGGGGTGTCTTGGGCACTTTGCGAGGAGGTTTAGGAGGAGTGGAAGTGTCAGAAGTGAAATCATTGCGGTGTCTTCCTAACGTTGATGGTGAAGAAAATGGTGAAGTGGGTCCACATGAATCGGTTTTGAAGCGAAGAATGTTGCTGGTAGAAGGTGATCCTGATCCACAACCTGCAGGAGAAGAAGAAGAAGGAGAAGCAAAATCAGAGCCAAATAACTCAGCTTTTAACAATCTAGAATAAGCTTCATTGTTATTTCCTCCTCCACCGTTATCTTTAACGGGTGAAGGTTTATCAACAAGGCCAAAAGCGTAGAGTCTTGAGGATGATCTGCAAGGTATGAATCTGTCACTGCAGGTTGATGAGGATTTGGAGGTTGAAGAAGGTGAACAAGAAAGTTTTGATTTTGAAGGTGAAGCGAGATTGGAAATGGAAAGTGGTGAAGAACATGAGAAGGTGTCGAGATGAAGTGAGGTTCCTGACATTCCTGCTGGTAGGTTCAGACATGACTTTCTTGTCTTAGGTGAATCCATTGTCATTGTTTCAATGGAATGAAGAGTGAAGAGATAATAAACGAAGAGAAAGAGAGAGATTTTTCTTCTTCTTCTTCTTCTTCTTTTAGGTGGAGAATGAAGAGTGAAGAGTGAAGAGTAAAGATGAACTGATGAAGAGTACAACGGTCAAATTGTGGGAAGTTTTATATGAGAATCTGGACCCACATAGAAAGGTTATTCCAACGGTCAAATTGTGCACTATTAGCTGTTTTGGGACACTTTTTATTAATGTGTTTGTTACATATTCATTATTAAGAGCGTCAACAATATACAACCTAATTGTTATTTTTAAATGAATCTCACGTATCTTATTTTTTAACTGTTTACAATTTCTAATAAATTAAATATATTTTGATAGTACAATTCATAGTTAGTTGACCACCAATCTATCTTATATCTATATTTTACATTCAAATATAGATATAAATAATTTAAACAAAATTCAATAAATTTAATTTAAATTCAATTAAATAATAAAAAGTTCATTAGAAATTTATAAAACACATTAAAATAATAAATTACATAAAATAACACAAGACCCACTTAAAATAAATTAAATATCATAAAATAAAATAACTCAATGTCCATCACTTTTACAAGACCTACTTATCCATTTTTCCACGACAACATTTAACATTTCTCACCTTATCTCGATTAATGGAATGAGATTTATCTCCAATATACTCTTTAGTATTAGAAGTTGAGATGACTTACATTTTTCTAATATTTTATTTATTTAATTTAAAAATGAAATTAAATCTGAACCCTTGCAAAAAAAAAAAAAAAAATGCCACATGTGAGGAGATATGCATAATATTAGTATCTTCAATATGGGAGAGTAGTGCAACTCATCTCAATCCTTTCAAATCTCCACCTCACCTCCCTTAACCCTTTTAAATCCCTACCCGACTCCCTCATTCTTAAGGCTAACTTTTCAATTCCCGACCCCATATCCTCATTTCTCTTATCCCTTTCCCATCATCTCACACATAGTTGCTCCATTTCGTTGGGTTCCCTCATGCATGCACCAATCTAGAAACTCCTAAGGCGTGAGAAGCCATGCGGGTAAAGCCGGCAAATGGCAATCATATAGTTATCACAATTGATAATACATGCAGTGACACAACTTCTAAGATAGCAAATACGTACCATTAAACCAAAAAAAAATATATAACACATCTCCTATTGTATTTAACACAAATAGCTAATATACACATTGGACTTAAACTTGACACTATTAATCAAAAAGGAGTTTGTCCAATTGTGTAACGCCTCCTTGAATCTCTTATATTATATAAGGTTAAAGGATGTTTCAACAATTCAATAATCATTCGAAACTCAGACTCGTGTTTTGATCAATAAACTTGGTTTCTGACCAAAATGCTTTAAACTTGGTAAAAGTTGAGCTCATGAAATAAATGGACAAAATTTGACCCAAGATTATTCAATATGTTAGGTTAATGAAATTTCATTTATATACACATACATATACAGGAAGATAATTTTTAAATTTATATATATAAAATAAACATGATTTGAGATGATAGATTGATCGAGCTAATCAAGTCAATGAAAAGTCATATTAAACATTTTATGAACTCAAATCGAGTCATGTTGGAAAAGTAACTCCCATTGAATTTGGATTGATTTTGAGCTGAACCATTATTGATTGAGCTGAGTCCATGTTTGACTCATTTCCTTATTTATAGATGAAAGAGTACCATTGATCAATACCAAAAACTTGACACTACTACAAATGACAACTAATTCATGCCTTCAGTGGTATCTGTCATAAGAATTGAGTTTTATTTATTTAGCTTTATATAAGTTAATTGATAATTTTGTTGGGCTAAAATAACTGATAATTAAGTTTTCAAAAGAGGGCGGTTGACATTTAATCGGTGTCATATGTACAGAAAAATATTTGTTGAGAAATATAATACTTGAGATAATATCTACATTTAATCGGTGTCATATGCTGATACATCATAATCCCTACACATCATTATGTATTAGCATCCAGGTACTGGCTTATACAGAGAATCCAGATTTGCTGGGTTGGTTGGGGAACTATGAATTAATTTGTGAGTACCAATGTGTGGTGTTTTTGTCATTGAGTGAATCGTGTATTGATATTCAGTCTCAAACGAACCACAGTTAAAGATGTCATCTTCTTCATTCATGGGCTTCATACTGTCATAACTCCAATGTTGTAATTCTAACTGCATAAGAGAATGAGACTGATAACCCTATCAAATGACATACCGATAGGAGAAAGGATAAATAAAAGAGGCATCAGAGAAAAACAATGACATATATGGATGGATAAAACGAGGGAGAGCAATTTTAGGAAACTCGCCTGAAACCATGAATAAAATGTGATACATTTCCGCATCTAATGGAAAATTGAGACAATTAAAAGATTAAATGAACAAGATAGATTTAACCTCTTATGCAAGTAGGTATAGTACAAGTGTACACTGTGTTGTAGCAAAAATCCTCCAGAAGAACCTAGTAGATTAGTAGTATAAGTCATTTATTGCTGCTGCAGCATCATCAAGATTCTCATATCATCCGGCTATAATCGATTTGGGGCAATCAGGGACCACCCCAAACCAAAAAGCAGTAAAGCTTGTGAATCTTGAGGATGCTTCAACTGCAATCATCGACTGGATTCTTTAGATCTCTTTGTGAAATGAAGAAAGAATAGAACAGATAAGGGTCGAGGAGCCTTAACCCTAGTGTTACTATATCTAAAGACGTGTTGAAATGGTAAGCAGAAAATCAAAAGAAAAATTAAGAATCTCGAAGATATTAAGATAAGAGATGGGGTTAAGAGTAAAGAAGTGAAAATGAAGAAGGATAGAATGATGTATATATATTATATAGATTAGAGAAAGTGGGAGGAGAGAGCCCGTGTTATGAGCAAAAAGATGAGGGACGAGATTGGTTGGTGTTTTTATCTGTCAGTCGACAAATGATATTTGTATATTTAACTTAAAAATGAAAATGTCATTCGTATAAATAGAATGATATAATTGTTTTTTCATTTTATTTTTTACCTTGTTTTATACATATTACTTATCTATCCATGAGAGGCTCAGTGCTCGTCACACAAAGGTATGTGTGAGAGAGAGGGAGAGAGAGTTTAGGCTTAACAGTTATGCATCGTAATCCTAGGAACAGAAGGAAACATAGTACTACTGTAGCTACAAATCTATGAGATTTGGATAACAAAAACTTGTCCTTGAGAGAATAAGGGGTGGCATTTAGGATTTGGAATTTGACCCTTGACTCTATCAAAGTGTTAAGGGCGCGTGCCCTTCCTCTCTCCTTCCTTAGGGTTTCAACTTCTTAGTCCACTGTTTTGATTGAAACCACAACATTTACCTCTTTTGGACTCTTTGAAGTGCCATTATTAGAGATCTGCTAAACCCTACTAACAGGGCTTCATCATAAACTATTCTTAATGGCTCTTAGTTTTCTCATATCATCACCGCCCCGACAAGTTTATGTCTCACCCTTCAACAATATTATATTTTAATTACTGTTTTGCTAAGGAATCCAAAATATAAAATCAACTTTTAAAAAATTACGTACGAACTCTGAACGTATTAAATATATCATTTCCTAATTCCTAAGGTGTATTTTATATTCTTTTACTCAATGTTATTAAAATAGTATCAATTATCAAATCGGTCAGGGTACTGATATAATGGTATAGTAGTTCAATTGGTGGTTCAGTAATTAAAATATAATATATATATATATGCAAACCTATAACAAAAAAATTCAAATAAACAAGTATTCAGATTTATAATTCATATTCATAATCTACTCCGAATTCACACAAACAAACAATATTAAGTCTTTAACAAAATCAAAGTCTAAAGTGCAAAACATATATTAATCCAAAATTATCACTTAACAAACGCAAAATACAAATAAATGACACAAATATCAATCATTGAAGTTGAAGAATTGGTGAAGAATTGAAAATTTGAAATTAAAAAAAAAATTAATGTACAAATCGGTCGGTTTAAACTGGTTCACCGGTTTTCACCGGTTCTATTGTATATGCAGTATAACATACGTACCGTACCAGTTAGGGGTCCGGTTTACTGATTTTCCGGTTGAACCGGCCGATACAGTATGGTTTTTACAACATTGCTTTTGCTTCCTTAAATATGGTTCTTAAAGTAATGATTATGACAACACTTTTAATTATAATTTCAGTGGGTTAGCTAATCTACTGTCTTAGCCACATATGTTTTAGTGGTAATGATAATTTAATATTAACAGCTCTGTATATTTTGTTAGATATTAAAAAAAAAATAGTCTTCCCCTGCATTTGTTAAATATGGGACATAAAAGTGAGGTGGGATTTATAATGTTCAAATATCACTGCTCTATTTAATCCGCACTTCATGTGTTTAATCAAATTAATGTGAATGAATTATGTGTAGTCTCGTCAATTTTTGAAGTAACTCCTCTTGCTTTGCAATTATGTTGCTAGGGAATTGATGTGTATTTGAACCATTCGAGAATATGCTTAAATTAGTTACATTGTTGTTGCTTTAATAAACGATAAAGGAATTAAAGCTGTACCAAATAAGCCTGTATGGGATTGGATAATCAAGCAATCAAGTGCTTGAGTTATATTCTTCTTCATTATATGAGAGGACACTTAGATATATATATATATAGAAAAAACAAAAAATGATAATACTTTTATCACATTAACTTACATTAGCATTACATTTTATCCTTAAAAATATACTTAAAAATCTAATTGTCCTCTTCAATAGTTGAGTGTCAGCATTCTTAGGTACAATTACAAGTTGTTTTTGGAGCAATATGTACTGATTAATTAAAGGCTAGCTACCATAATTATATCAGTGGTGTATATAATTACAAGCACCCGATTCGGCCCACTTTAGTTTTATTTTGATATTTTGTTACTCATCTCTTCATATAATAATTTTAGTAATAAAAAATAATGTAATAAATAATATAATTAAATACATGGACATACTAAGTTTATTAGAGATATTAGTTCAAACATAGAGAAAATCTTTTATACAAACCTCACCCATCGAGCATCTCACGTCATAATCAAGAACCTCTACTATCTCTTTAAATGGGTTGAACCTTGTGGGTAATTAAAAGACTAATTTCATTTTCTCATAATATAATATGCATAATGGATTCATAGAAAGGTGAGGAAAAAGAAAATTGTGTAGGAACGGAAGGAGTGGGGTGAAAGAAGGGTGAGGAAAAAGAAAATTGTGTAATTTTACTTGTGCAAATAAAATTACACTAAAATGGTCCTAATAATAAAATTACACTAAAATGCTCCTAATAATAAACTTGTCTTAATTAAATAGAAGAGTGGTTAACATAGTCCTCCTAAATTGTATATATTTAAAAGATTATATAAATATATATAATTGAGTCAATTAAATTGTACTTAGTTCAAGTTTGATATATTTATTTAACGAACAAATTTTTAGTTCAAATTTAATTCATGATTCATGAATAAAGTTTATCGAACTAAATAATAGTTAAATTTTAAATAATTGTCGAATTGTTTTGAGTCATTGTGAGCCCTATACATAAGATAATTGGATTTGTCTAGGTATAAATTTCTAATCATAAGAGGCTTCTTAAGTGAAATCCTTTTTAATATATAAAAATTGTTGAGATTAATTCAAAATTCAAATGAATTTTCCACCATTTAGATTTGTTTTCTTGAAAGTAGCTACAAATTAACTACATCCTGAATAAGAAAGGAAAGCTGGGTATATCATGGAAAAATTATGATTCAATATATATATCTTTAACATCTTTTAGTGTCATATGCTGTCATCACATGTTTTACAGAAGAATTAGCTATTTTACCAATTAAATTATTAATCTAAACCTTAAAATATCTGGGTATACTTTACTCTAATGAATGTATGAACATGCGCACTTCATAGCTAGCTGATTGGAAAATATCTCTGTTTTTTGCCATGCTAAATGAAAGGTGATCATTTTAGGCACAAAGTCAAGCGAAGGCATCACCTCCTGATATATGTGAGGAATCATGTTCATCCATAACTTAATGGGTTTTGGAAAGCATCAAATATCACTTGTTGACCTTTAAAAGTCACAATGAGTGGGTTTTACACATAATCAATTCATTCATAGATGCTAACAAAATGGCTAAAGACCATGAGTTTTTTGTTATTATAATGGAATGAATATCTAGAGAGAATCTCTTTATCTAAATTCAGGTACTCGAACACGCAACGAAATACCGCACTAGCCGTTATTATAACGGAATTTATCGATTCCGTCAAATCATTGTTCAACAACGCAGAAATAATTTCATGTATTTTCTAATCAAAGGCAATCTGTTTAGGCCATTTAGCATGCATAAGAATTGGTTGGGGTTCCTTTAATTTCCACTTTTTTCTTTCAAGGTTAGACAAGTTAGATTCCCTACTTGTGTTTTTAGTTTCTTACCAAGGCAATTAAGAGAAGACGTTTTCATTGTCATGCCAATAAACACATTGAATAGTGATATATCACCAATTTTGCTACCTTATTGAGTTGATCAGCATTAAATTCAAATATTGGTGTGTGCCTTCTAGCATTGACGTGTCTAGTCAAATCTTTATTCAATTCATAGCTATGACTTGTTTAGATCATTTATCTTACAACATATAGGAACGTGTAGAAGTAGGAAGCTAAGTATCAAATCTTTGTTCAATTCATAGCTATGACTTGGTTAATATGAATAATGAGGAAAAACATATTTTTTTCATATCTTTGAGTTATATACAACTTAATTAAAATTAGAGCATGGAGATAGTCCTTGGTTGTAGTCCATCATTTGTAAAAGGGTTATACCATCTCTTAAGCTCCATTTATATTCATTCCTTTGCTTAGGAAAAAAAAATCCACGGATATTGTATTGTGCTAAGGTGGGATCGTCAAACCAAGATTTTAGCACAATTGTATTGTAATCTTTGGTCTTGTCTAAAGTCCAAATCTTTTATCAGAAACAAATTTAAATAGTTTTATATAGTTATTTCATCATCCACCATTTATATTTAATTATGTTGAATGTTAAAAAAATAATACAAATGAATAGTAGATGATAATTTAATATATATAAAAATTGTAACCCTACATCCCAAACAATGTACTTTCAATCAATATATTTTATTTAAAAGCATAAACAATGTTATTTGTATCATATTCTTTCCTCTTCATTATGTCCAAAAAAATATTCATTTTATTCTCTCAAGGTTCTCTTGGCCTATTTAAAAAATGGAGAAGAGATGAAATATAGATTAATATGATACTTATGAAAACCTTGAAAGCTAAAATTAGTGTTTTTTGGAATTTGTGAGTAGAGAGGAGAATGTGACACAAATGATGTTGTTTTATGTCTATTAAAAAAACCATTAGTGACAAAGACTATGTCCTTTCATTTATTGGATGATCTGTCCCAAAATAGTATCTTTAATCATGTCTCAGTCAATAATATTGTGTCACGTCATTTAATTTTTTTATCTCACTCCTCCACTAAAAAATATATATTCATGTTTAGACTTTTTAAATGACGTGATATAATATCATTGGTTGTGACATGATTGATGACATCATTTTGGAC